TGGATGGGGGAAAAAATGGATGGATGGATGGATGGATGGGGGAAAAAACAGATGGATGGATGGATGGGGGGAAATGGACGGATGGATGGGGAAAATGGATGGATGGATGGGGAAAATGGATGGATGGATGGGGAAAAAATGGATGGATGGGGAAAAAATGGATGGATCGGGGAAAAAATGGACGGATCGGGGAAAAAATGGATAAAAAATGGATGGATGGGGGGAAAAATGGACGGATGGGGGAAAAAATGGACAGATGGGGGAAAAAATGGATAAAAAATAGATGGATGGGGAAAAAAATGGATGGATGGGGGAAAAAAATGGATGGATGGGGGAAGAAATGGATGGGGGAAAAACGGACAGATGGGGGAAAAAATGGATAAAAAATTGATGGACGGGGAAAAAAATGGATGGATGGGGAAGAAATGGATGGATGGGGAAAAAACAGACAGATGGGGAAAAAACGGACAGATGGGGAAAAAACAGATAAAAAATGGATAGAAGAAAGTAGATGGGGGAAAAGGCGGATGGGAAAAAATGGATGGGGAAAAAATGGATGGGGAAAAAATGGATGGGGAAATGTCTCTGTGCTGCTATCCTGGACTCTCAAACCCTCCCAGCTCAACATGAATTGGCCAAACCCTGACTTCTGCAGCTGTTCCAGTGCTGCAGGTGCTGCATGGTTTAGAGTGAGCCGTCCTTGCTGGGAAGGTTGCCAGGAGCCCCAGTTTCCTGTCAGCCATAAAAGCAGCTGGGGCATTTCTCCACGGCTGCTCCAGCGCCCTCCCCGTGCCTTCCACCCAAAAATGATCAGCCTTGGCTTGTCAGGAAGCAGATCCCAGCATCTGCTGCTCCCTGCTCCAGCCCTGAGCAGCTCCTGCTGTCCGTCAGAGCAGTTCAGAAGAAAATCAGAAATCATCTCTCTGAAACCTGCCTGAGCACCTGCTAGAAATGGCCTGAACACAGAGAGGATTCAATAGCCAGGTGTGACAGAGGAGACCAAAACCTGCCCCACTCCAGCTCACAGCTCTGCCATTTGTCATTTTTACGTGTTAGCACTCAAGCATCTCGCTCCATATGAGATCAGTCCTGCCCTGCATTTAAACATCCCCTCTGAAAATCATTATCAGGTTGTTTTAATCCCATCCTGAAAATTAATAAAAACTAACTCTGACCTTGGATGAATAAGGGTAACTTTGATGACTTCAATATCTTAATTTATATTCATTTTGTGCATAAATAGCAAGGAAGAGCTTCCATCCATCCATCCATCTATCCATCCATCCATCCATCCATCCATCCATCCATCCATCCATCCATCCAGACTTCATTAGAATTGGCTGGAATTCGCTGTCCTGAAACAAGCTGGCATTAAGGCGATGAACACCAATGATCTGACATCACCCAGGAATGGTGCACCCCATTTTGGGACAGGACACTGAATCCAGTTCAAATTCCAAGGAGATTAAGGTCAGGGGAATCCCGTTCACTCCATTGGCATCTGCCAGGGTGTTCCTCAGGCAGCAGCATCCATCTCCACTCAGTCCACGCTCAGGGGTCTGCCCAGGTTTTTGGGGTCTCTGAAGCCTGTGGGGTCCATCTGTGCTCTGGTAAAGGGGCAGCAGCTGAGCTGCCGGAGCCCACAGACCTCCCCTCTCACCCCACAGCAGCAGAACCCATTCAGAGATGTGCCCAAATTGATAACCCAGCTCTTCTCCAGCACTTGTTTGAGCAGGATTTTGGGAAAGCTCCTCATGGCTGGGGCCAGCCCCTCTGGACCCCTGATTGCCCCGATCAGGGGGTTTGTCGGGCCCTGACAGGATATTGGCTCCGTGTCCACACATGGCACTCAGCCGTGGGAGTCCTGTTCAAACACTGTCTTTTTATGTCAGACATTTCCAAATTCCGCTCTCACTCCCCCGCCACCCCCTGCCTGGGTTTATACATCAACCAGTGCCTGGAGTCCTTATCACTCTGAAGGGCTCTCCTCAGCCTGGAGGGCCATTGTGTGAGTTTTTAAGTCATGACTCCCAGATATTGAGCAGGGCCGGTTTGGCTAGTTCTGGGCAAACAGGCTCCGCACTTGATTGGCATTTAAACACAGCAGGTAAGAGTTCAGGCTCTTATGTGATCTGAGCAGCAGCGTGCTCAGCTGGGCAGGACAGGCAGCACCATCTCACCAAGAGAGCCAAACCCACCTCCTGCAAGGGACTCATAACCCCAAAACCTCACAAAGGACTTTCCTGGGGTCTGTTCTGCTCACGCTGCCCTGGCCAGGTGATGCCTCCTGCCACCCCAGGCACTCACGCAGTCCAGCTTGCTCTTCTTCCACAGGTAGAAGGGGTCAGCCAGCTGCTTGAGGGAGTTTTTCAGGTTGACAGCGATGAGGGCTCCCAGCACGGACTGTGGAGGACAGGGAATGGTGTCAGCCAGCACCTGGATGTGCCACGTTTGGCAGTGGATGCTTTTCTGCACCATCTGCCTGCCTTGGGCCACCCCCATCACAAGGGTGATCTCACTTGGATCTGAGCAGGGTCATTTGGATGATTCTTTCATTATCATTTACATTATAATTTCATACTTAATAACAATTTATAATTCATAATTTACACTTACATTTGCTCAGAGAAACTGTGGCTGCCCCATCCCTGCCCAAGGCCAGCTTGGAGCAACAGTGAAAGGTGTCACTGCCCATGGCAGGGATGAAGCTTAAGGTCCCTTCCAACCCAAACCAGCCTGGAATTGTGTGATTTTGTGATTCCAGACAGGTGCCCAGGCCAGGAACAAGCTGTCCCATGCTGCTTTTTGCATCGGGGTTTTTTGGAGCGGGGCTGTGTTTGGGTGTGGTGAGTGGGTGTTGCAATGGCTCTGCCTGCACAGATGTTTGTGTTACCTTTGGAAGAGGCTCCAGGTAGATTCCCAGGGACAGCATTGTCACCATGACCACCAGAGCCACAAAGAAACTTGCCACCTGCAAAGAGGGAAGCAAATCATTCTGCAAACATCAGGCTTCCCAGAGCTCCCCTGGGTGTAGTCAGGGGCACAACTGGGCACTGCAGGATTTTATGGGAGAGGATGTTTGCCTCTGAAAACAGGCAGGGGTTTGCAGATCTCACAGATAACCCCAAAATTCCCTCACTGGTCCAGGGATCCAGAGTGGGACTGCAGAGCTCTGCTTCTGTGCCCAACCCAGAGAACTAAATCAGGGACCAAAACGGGCTTGGGGAGGGAGAAAATTCTGTTTTAACAGCAGCAGCCTGAAGCACTTGGGTGTGAAACTTCTCCAGAGCTGCTCAGTCAGGCTGGTAACATGTGGCAGCTGCAGCACTTTGTGATCCAGGGGGAATGGAGAGAGGAGGAGGAGAGGAGGAGGAGGAGGAACTAACTTGGGATTTCGCTCCTGCCCCATCCACGGCGAGGGTGACAGAGAGAGCGCAGCAGATCACGTGGATTTTGAAGAAGGATCCAAAGAAGTTGCTGCAGCCCAGGGCCAGCATTTCCTGTGGAGGTGTGGAGAATGCCCATCAGAAAGGACAGCTGCCCTTCCTGCTGGCACATGGCAAGAGGAAGGGGCCTGAGGCTGGTTTATGTGGCCAGGGCAGGCTCTGGGTTCCCTGCAGTGCATCCCAGACTCTTTCCTTCCAGTAAGATCTGGGATAGAACCTGGTGTAGCAGGGAAACCTGGAAGCACAATTCCACATAAACACGCTGTCATCTGTTGACACACTCAGGGCAGGGCTCCATGTGGTATGTGTGGCTGCTGTTGAAAGCTGCCACTGTGCCAGGGATGACAAAAGAGGATTATTTAATGTCCTGCCTCCCAGAGTATCTGGGTGACACACCAGGAATCCAGGTCTTTCTCTGCTCCCTGAGAAGCGTACGCACCTCCCCGTGCTTCAGCAAGCTGCCAAAACGCTGAGCCTGGAGGGGGAGCACGGCAGAGAGAGCCCAGCCTAAAGCTCCTTTCCCTCTTCCAGCCTCTCTCCAGCCCACAGGACAGAGCTCTGCCGTGTCCTTTTCCCCCCCACATGGCACAAAGCCACGGAGCCTCCTTGGGAGCAGCACGTCTGAGCTCTTCCCTTCACGCCTGAGAGCAAAGGCAGCAGCCCCTGGCTGCCCCAGCCCCAGCAATACCTGGTTGGGGTCCACGTCGTAGCCATGCTTGGCTGCCAGGGTCCTCCCCATGGCCAGGTTGATCACGTAGCCCACGATGGCAAGCGAGAAAGCCGTGCCCACCATGTCCTTCCACTTGCTGACCAGGGGCAGGGTGGGCTCTGGGAACCTGCACTCAGAGCACAGGTGAGAAGCTGTGGCAGCGCTGGCTGGGGGGCTGGGGGGTTGGTGAGGAGCTGGAGGGTTCAGGAGTGACACAGCCCCTGCCCACACTCCTGAGGATGCACTCAGAGCACAGGTGAGAAGCTGTGGCAGCACTGGTTGGGGGCTGGGGGGT